TGCCCACGTGTTCCCCGAAGGTTTTCCAAACCGATTCGGGGAACACGTGGTCCGATAGCTTGGCAGGTCTGGCCTCAACGTTCGGCCACATAGGCGCTTCCAAAAAGGCAGGGGGCGGCGGTGATTCGCCGTAGGCGTCTTCGATAGCACTCAGGCTTCCAGATTGATTGGCGTTGGAGGGCGCGCGAGCTAATCCCAGCTTCGGAATGACAGGAGTTCTTTCTCACTGTTTGATGCCACCCTGTCTGCAGTGTTGCAGTTTGCTGTGTTGCATGGTGCTGAGGCGCAGTTTGTCGCGTTGCGCATTGCTGTGTTGCGTTATGTTGTCTTTCGTTTTGCAGTGCCCCGGGGTCGTGTCTGGCCGTGCTGGCAGGGGCGCGCAAAACGCACAGCATTGCATGCAACCAGAAAGCCGCGCGACGACAAGGGAGAAGCCCAGAGGATCCCCAGGAGGCCTCAAGAGAACTCCCAGAGGGTAGAGGAAAAAAGAAAAAGCAGTGCGAGCCACCGGCGGGCCGCTATTCTCAGGAATTTCTGGAATTTCTGGAATTTCTGGATTTTTAGAATTTTTGGAATTTCTGGAATTTTTGGAATTTCTGGAATTTCTGGAATTCTGGAATGTGTGGAGTGTCTGGAATTTCTGGAATTTCTGGAATGTGTGGAGTGTCTGGATTTTTTTAGGGAATTTCTGGAATTTCTGGAATATCGGCGCATGCTCACCCGTGGGCTCTCTGCGTTCCAGCTCTTTTTGAAGGACAACGTGGAGATACAGCGCACGCCACGGCGCCTGAGAGCTTACAGCGGCGCCTTCGTGCCCTTTTGCCCTCGGGCAGGCGGCATGGGCGTGGGGGGGGACGTCAGGGCGTTCAAGGATCTCACGGTCAGCCTCAGCCTCAGCCTGCTTCAGCCTCGGCCTCAGTCTGCCTTCAGCCTCGGCCTCAGCCTCAGCCTGCCTCAGCCTCAGCCTGCATCAGCCTGAGCCTCAGCCTCAGCCTGCTCAGCATCAGGCTTCAGCCTCAGCCTCAGCCTCAGCCTGCTTCAGCCTCGGCCTCAGTCTGCCTTCAGCCTCGGCCTCAGCCTCAGCCTGCCTCAGCCTCAGCCTGCATCAGCCTGAGCCTCAGCCTCAGCCTGCCTCAGCATCAGCCTGCTTCAGCCTCAGCCTGAGCCTCAGCCTGCTTCAGCCTGAGCCTCAGTCTGCCTTCAGCCTCGGCCTCAGCCTCAGCCTGCCTCAGCCCCAGCCTGCCTGAGCCTCAGCCTCAGCCTGCCTCAACATTCGAAATGTGGCCCGGGATTGGAGTTCTGGGAACTCGAAGAACACGAAGTGGCCTGCAGTTGGCTCCGGGCATTCAAAACCATGCCCAGGAATGCAGTTCTGGGAACTCGAAGACCACGAAGTGGCCTACAGTTGGCTCCGGGCATTCAAAATCATGCCCAGGAATTGAGTTTTGGGAACTCGAAGAGCACGAAGTGGCCTACAGTTGGCTCCGAGCATCCAAAATGTGGCCCGGGAATGGAATTCTGGGAAGACGAAGAGCACGAAGTGGCCTACAGTTGGCTCCGAGCATCCAAAATGTGGCCCGGGAATGGAATTCTGGGAAGTCGTAGAGCACGAAGTGGCCTACAATTGGCTTCGGGCATTCAAAATGTGGCCCGGGAATAGAGTTCTGGGAGGTCGAAGAGCACGAAGTGTGTGACTGTTTGGTTAAAACGAGCCCGGCCCTGAGCCCGGCCCTCGCTGTCCGGATGCCGGCCAGACCTCCCTTCTGAGTCATCAGATGCTCTCTTTTGACACCACTAGAAACCTATCAGTCTTCGCTGTCAGGTAATGAATTTCTGGAAATGCCAGAAATTCTAGAAATTCCAGAAATTCCAGATAATCAAAAGAAAAGCCAACAATTCCGGAAATTCCAGAAATGTCAGAAATTCCAGAAAGTCCGTGGAATTCACATATTCCGGAAATTGCAGAAATGCCAAATATTCCGGATACACATACACATACACATACGTACGCCGCCCACACACACGCACACTGACGGGGCGAGAACGGAGCGACCCAATCCGGGAAACTGGCTCTTGTGTCGGCTCTTGTCGCGCGCGAGCATGCGAGGCGGAACTACTGAAGAGCGATGATCCGCTGGCCAAGGTTGGGACCAGGCCACGTCGCCCAAAAAAATCACGCACCCACCCCGCCAGTCCTGCGGTGTCCCTGGAGAGCCCGAAGAGCACCCACAAGAAAGAGGACACCATTATGGAGTGTCCCTTCCTTCGATGTATGAAGGCTTTTAGCGTTCTCGCTCAATCGGGCTCCAGACGCTCCAAGACGTCTCAGAGGGACCAAAAGATCGCCCCGAGACGGCGCACAAGGCCCCCAAGGCCCCCAAGAGGGCCCCAAGAGGGCCCCCAAGAGGGGGAACACGAACTGACATTTCGAACCCTGGTCCCCAAAAGGTGTCCAAGGAGCCCCGGGCGGCCCACAAGTCAAAAGAGGCCTCAAGAGGCCCCCAAGAGGACCTCGAAAGGCCCCAAAACACCACATTTGCATCCAAGAAGCATCCAAGAGACCTCTCAAGAGATCCCAACAGGTATCCAAAGGCCTTTGACCCACAACCCAAGCACGGTGGCAGGATGGTCCGAAGGCCACCAGCGAGGGATATCCGCCGCCCCCTTGTGATTTATCACAGGGGTGCCTGGCGTGCTGGATCCTATCGGTTTTGGTTTTGGTTCTTTTCCAAAAGAACTCCCCCTGGGGCTCCAGCGCGTCCCGCCGGCCATCTGGAAAGGCTTTCAAGGAGCTCAATTCCGCAATCTTTCCCTCAAGATGGCCCAAGATGGCCTCCAAGATGGCCACGTTGGCCCAAGATGGCCTCCAAGATGGTCCAAGATGGCCTCCAAGACGGCCCAAGAGAGTCCAAGATACCTCCAAATTCGCCCAAGAAGCCTCCAAGACGGCCCAAGACAACCCAAGAGGCCTCCAAGAGGTCCTCAAGGAAGGGCCCGAAGAGGCCAAAATCATTGATGTTCCTAAGGTTTTGACAGATTTGGGTATTTGCTTCTTTTCGGCCTTCCGACGGCTCAAGACGGCCCAAGAGGCCCCCAAGATCGCCCCACGATCGCCCACGAGGCCTCCAAGATGGCCCCATGACGGCCCAAAAAGCTCCGAAGACGGCCCCAAGAGGGCCCCAAGACGACCCAAGAGGCGTCCAAGGCGCCCAAGATGGCCTCGAAGACAGCCCTGACGACGAGGCCCCCAAGACGCCCCCAAGATGCCCACAAGGCCCCCATGACGGCCCAAGAGGCCCCCAAGACGGCCCCAAGACGGGCCCAAGAGGGCCCCAAGACGGGCCAAGAGGCCTCCAAGACGCCCAAGATGGCCCCTAAGACGGCCCCGAAGCGCCCCAAGAGGGCCCCAAGTCCGCCCAGAGAGGCCCCCAAGACGGCTCCCGACGGCGACAGACGTGCCAGGAACCCACCAAGATGGCCAAAGTTGGCTCGAAGCTGGCCCAAGACGGCCCAAGAGGCCTCCAAGAGGGCCTCCAGGAAGGCCAGAAAAGGCCAAAAACACTTATCTTCCTTAGGTTTTTGAAAGGTTTTGACGTTTGCTTCTTTTCGGCCTTCCGACTGCCCGAGACGGCCCAAGAGCCCCCAAAGATCCCCCAAAGATCGCCCAAGAGGCCTCCAAGATAGCCCCAGAACGGCCAAAGAGGCCCCCAAGACGGCCCCAAGAGGCCCCAAGACGGCCCAGGAAGCCTTTAAGACGCCCAGGATGGCCTCTTGGGCCGCCCTGGAGCATTCCAAGAGGGCCCCAAGTCGACCCAGAGAGGCCCCCCAAACGGCTTCCGACGGCAAGACGGCCGAAGATGGCCCTAAGATGACCCAAGACAGCCCAAGAGGCCTCTAAGAGGGCCTCCAGGAAGGCCCGGAAAAGCCAAAATCATTGATTTCCTATCAGTTTTTGAAGGATTGTGTCATTTGCTTTTTTTCGGCCTTCCGACGGCCCTGGACGGCCCAACTGCCCCCAAAGATCGCCCAAGAGGCCCTCAAGACGGCCCCAAGAGGCCCCCAAGACGGCCCAAGAGGCCTCCAAAGAGCCCTTTAAGACGTCCTCCAAGAAGGCCCGAAAGGGTCCAAATGGCCTCCAGACGGCCAAGATGACCTTCAAGAAGCCCACGTGTTCCCCGAAGGCTTTCCAAACCGACTCGGGGAACACATGGTCCGATAGCTTGGCGGGTCTGGCTTCAACGTTCGGCCACATAGGCGCTTCCAAACAGGCAGGGGGCGGCAGTGACTCGCCGTAGGCGTCTTCGATCCGCCGCCCTCTGTTGGCGTGCCACAGGGGTGCCCGGCGTGCTAGACCCTTTCGGTTTTGGTTTTGGTTTTTCCAAAAGAACTCCCCCTGGGGGTTCGGCCCGTCATGCCGGCCACCCGAAAGGGATCTCAATCCCGGAACAATCCCCCAAGATGGTCATATTGGCCCAAGATGGTATCCAAGATGGTCCAAGATGGCCTCCAAGTCCGCCCAAGATGGTCCAAGACGGCCTCCAAGACGGCCTAAGATGGCCTCAAGATTCCCCAAGACGGCCCAAGAGGCCCCCAAGAGGTCTCCAAGATGGCCCAAGAGGCCTCCAAGAGGGCCTCCAGGAGGACTCGAAGGGTTTTGACAGGTTTTGGCATTTGCTTCTTTTCTGCCTTCCGACGGCTCAAGACGGTCCAAGAGGCACCCAAGATCGCCCCAAGATCGCCCACGAGGCCTCCAAGATGGCCCCATGACGGCCCCAGAGGCCCCCCAAGAGGCATCCAAGATGGCCAAGATAGCCTCCAAGACGGCTAAAATGACCCCAAGATGCCTCCAAGATGGCCCAAGATGCATCCAAGACGGCCTAAGATGGCCTCAATAGTGCCCCAGACGGCCCAAGAGTCTCCAAGAGGTCTCGAAGACGGCCCAAGAGGCCTCCAAGAGGTCCCCCAAGAGGACCCGAAGAGACCAACATCATCGCTTTTCCTTATGTTGTTGAAGCATTTTGGCATGTGCGTCTTCTCGGCATCCCGACGGCTGAAGACGGCCCAAGATGTCCCAAAGATCGCCACAAGATCGCCCACGAGGCCTCCAAGATGGCCCCATGACGGCCCCAGAGGCCCCCCCCAGAGGCCCCCCAAGAGGTCGTCCAGGAGGGCCCGAAGAAACCAAAATCATTGTTTTTTTTCAAATGGTTTTGACAGATTGCGGCATTTGCTTTCTCGGCCTTCCGACGGCTCAACACGGCCCAAGATGCCCCAAGATCGCCCCAAGATCGCCCACGAGGCCTCCAAGATGGCCCCATGACGGCCCAAAAAAGCTCTGAAGACGGCCCCAAGAGGGCCCCAAGACGACCCAAGAGGCGCCCAAAATGGCCTCGAAGACAGCCCTGAAATGCCTAAAGATGGCCCCAAGACGACCCAGACAGGCCCCCATGACGGCTTCCGACGGCGTCAGACAAGCCAGGAACGCCCTAAGACTGCCAAAGAGACCCCCAAAACCAAAGGCCCCCAGCATGCCCAAGGAGGCCCCGAAGAGGCCTCCAAGAGGCCCCCAGCAAGCCCCCAGGAAGCCCCAGGAGTGCCCCAGAAGGCGCCCAAGAGGCCTCCTCCTCCTCCTTTTTCCTGATCCTCTCCCTCCTCCACGTCTTGCCCCCCCCCCCACGCGTTCCCAGAAGTTTTTCCAAACCGACTCGGGGAACAACTGGCCCGATAGCTTGGCCGAGCTCTGGCCCAACTCTCGGCCACATAGGCGTTTTCCGCCGCCCCCTGTTGATTCATCAGAGGAGTGCCTGGCGTGCTGAATCATTCCGCTGTTTTTCTTTTTTTCCGCGACCAGCTCTTGAAAAATTATCCTGGCGAAGGACCCAACCATATGCAATTGTGAATAACGCTTTGTGGGTGCCGCTTTCGGTGGGGCTCCTTATGGGGCCACGAAAGGCGTGCCACGAAACGCTGTCCTGGGTGTACGGGACGCATGAGGGCGCTAGCACTGGGGCCTTCGGTGGAACTCCCTATGGTGCCACGAAACGTGTGCGGGGTGTGCCGGAATGGGTGCGGCGCCGCCATGCGGACGCAGCCACTGGGGCCTTCGGTGGAGCTCCCTAGGGGGCCACGAAACGTGTGAGGGGTGTGCCGAAATGGGCGCGGCGCCGCGGACGCAGCCACTGGGGCCTTCGGTGGAGCTCCTTAGGAGGCCACGAAACGTGTGAGGGGTGTGCCGAATGGGTGCGGCGCCGCCATGCGGAAGCAGCCACTGGTGCTCTTCGGTGAGCTCCCGATGGGGGCCACGATAAACGTGGTGAGGGTGTTCCGAAATGGGATGTCGGCGCCGCATGGCGGACGCGCCTACTGGGGCCGTCGGTGGAGCTCCTATGGGGCCACGAAACGTGTGAGGTTGCGGAAATGGCGCGGCGCCGCGGACTGCAGCCACTGGGGCCGTCGGTGGAGCTCCTTAGGAGGCCCGACAACGTGTGAGGGTGTGCCGTGAAATTGGTGCGCGCCGCCATGCGGACGGCAGCCACTGGGCCTTCGGTTGAAGCTCCCATCGGGCAGCGGAAACGTGTGAGGGGTGTGCCGAAATGGTTGCTGCGCCGCCATGCGGACGCAGCCACTGGGGCCTTCGGTGGCTCCTCTATGGGGCCACGAAAACGTGTGAGGGTGTGCCGAAATGGGTGCGGCGGCCTCCATGCGGACGGCAGCCACGGGGCCTTCGGTGGAGCTCCCTATGGGGCCACGAAACGTGTGAGGGGTGTGCCGAAATGGGTGTGCGGGACGCATGCGGACGGCAGCACTGGGGCCTTCGGTGGAGCTCCCTGTGGGGCCACGAAACGTGTGAGGGGTGTGCCGAAATGAGTGTGCGGGACGCATGCGGACGGCAGCCATGGGGCCTTCGGTGGAGCTCCCTATGGGGCCACGAAACGTGTGAGGGGTGGCCGAAATGGGTGTGCGGGACGCATGCGGACGGCAGCACTGGGGCCTTCGGTGGAGCTCCCTGTGGGACACAAAAGGTTGAGGGGTTTGCCGACAATGGGTGCAGGCGACGCGCATGCGGACGCAGCCACTGGGTCCCTTCGGTGGAGCTCCCTATGGGGCCAGAACGTGTGTGAGGGGTGGCCGAAATGGGTGCGGTGCCGCCATGCGCCCGCAGCCACTGGGGCCTTCGGTGGAGCTCCCTATGGGGCCACGAAACGTGTGAGGGGTGTGCCGAAATGGGTGCGATGCCGCCATGCGCCCGCAGCCACTGGGGCCTTCGGTGGAGCTCCCTATGGGGCCACGAAACGTGTGAGGGGTGTGCCGAAATGGGTGCAGTGCCGCCATGCCAACGCAGCCACTGGGGCCCTCGGTGGAGCTCCCTATGGGGCCACGAAACGTGTGAGGGGTGTGCCGAAATGGGTGCGGTGCCGCCATGCGAACGCAGCCACTGGGGCCTTCGGTGGAGCTCCCTATGGGGCCACGAAACGTGTGAGGGGTGTGCCGAAATGGGTGCGGTGCCGCCATGCCAACGCAGCCACTGGGGCCCTCGGTGGAGCTTCCTATGGGGCCCGAAGCGTGTGAGGGGTGTGCCGAAATGCGTGCGGTGCCGCCATGCGGACGCAGCCACTGGGGCCTTCGGTGGAGCTCCCTATGGGGCCACGAAACGTGTGAGGGGTGTGCCGAAATGGGTGCGGTGCCGCCATGCGGACGCAGCCACTGGTGCCATCGGTGGAGCTCCCTATGGGGCCACGAAACGTGTGAGGGGTATGCCGAAAATGCGGCGCCGCCATGCGGACGCAACCACTGGGGCCTTCGGTGGAGCTCCCTATGGGGCCACGAAACGTGTGAGGGGTGTGCCAAATGGGGGGTGCCGCATGCGGGCGCAGCCAATGGTCCTTCGGTGGAGCTCCCTATGGGCCACGAAACGTGTGAGGGGTGTGCCGAATGCGTGCAGTGCCGCCATGCGTGGAGCAGCCACTGGGGCCCTCCGGTGGGCTCCTATGGGCCACGAAACGTGTGAGGGGTGTGCCGAAATGGGTGCGGTGCCGCCATGCGGACGCAGCCACTGGGGCCCTCGGTGGAGCTCCCTATGGGGCCACGAAACGTGTGAGGGGTGTGCCGAAATGAGTGCGGTGCCGCCATGCGGCCCGCAGCCACTGGGGCCTTCGGTGGAGCTCCCTATGGGGCCACGAAACGTGTGAGGGGTGTGCCGAAATGGGTGCGGTGCCGCCATGCGGACGCAGCCACTGGGGCCCTCGGTGGAGCTCCCTATGGGGCCACGAAACGTGTGAGGGGTGTGCCGAAATGGGTGCGGTGCCGCCATGCGGACGCAGCCACTGGGGCCCTCGGTGGAGCTCCCTATGGGGCCACGAAACGTGTGAGGGGTGTGCCGAAATGGGTGCGGTGCCGCCATGCGGACGCAGCCACTGGGGCCCTCGGTGGAGCTCCCTATGGGGCCACGAAACGTGTGAGGGGTGTGCCGAAATGGGTGCGGTGCCGCCATGCGGACGCAGCCACTGGGGCCTTCGGTGGAGCTCCCTGTGGGGCCACGAAACGTGTGAGGGGTGTGCCGAAATGGGTGCGGTGCCGCCATGCGGACGCAGCCACTGGGGCATTCGGTGGAGCTCCCTATGGGGCCACGAAACGTGTGAGGGGTGGGAGGAGGGAGGAGGGAGGAGGCAGAGGAGGAGGAAGGAAGGAGAGGAGACGCGGGGCACCGTCTCTTCAAAACGAGGACCCAACACCACAGGATGGTTGGGAAATAATGCAGTCAATTCACTGGGCTGACAGCAGGCGGACGTCGCCTGCAAGCCAGCATTGCAGCCTGACACTGGTGCGTGCGAAAACGTGGCGCTCGAGCGCCAAAGGGTTGGTGCTGAATGTAGCCGCAACCTTACAAAAGGACTGTGCCGTCTGTGTCGGACCAGACTAGGCAGTTACTGATCCTATGAAGAGAAAAAACGTGGCTTCTCGAAGCCAAAGGTGAGTTGGCGTAGATGATACAGGCACTGCGTCGTGCTAAATACGGTGCGCCGACTCGTGCTCATCGATCTCCGCGTCCTGCTCCGACTAGTTGACCTCAACCTCCGCGTTGTGAATGAAGAAGATCAAGACACCAGCGAAGACTGCAATTAATCCCCATGGCTCGGTGGTGGCTGTGGTGTTTGACGTGTCCGAACTCGTGCCCGTATCGGTGGTCGTCGTGGCCGTCTCGGTGGTCGTCGCGGTGGTCGTCTCAGTTGTTGTCTCGGTGGTTGTCTTGATGGTGGTAGTAGTGCTTGACGTCGCGGAACTCGTGGCCGTCTCGGTGGTGACGATGGTGCCGTCGAACACGTACGCGGAGCCAGACTGAGTGCCCTGATCGTCGCCATAGTAGGCCCCCACCACCACGCGGGCCCCGTCGGAGCTCACGGCCACCGAATTACCAAATTTTTCGTATCTGGCCCCATCACTCGCCACAAGCTTGAGCAGCCTCTCGCCCGTGGCACCGTCGAGCACGTACGCGGAGCCGGAGCTGTCGTCGTCACCCCAGGCCCCCACCACCACGCGGGCCCCGTCGGAGCTCACGGCCACCGAGAATCCGAAATTGTCGCCTACGGCCCCATCACTCGCCACAAGCTTGAGCAGCCTCTCGCCCGTGGTACCGTCGAGCACGTACGCGGAGCCAGAATTGCTGCCCTGGTCGTCGTCACCCCGGGCCCCCACCACCACGCGGGCCCCGTCGGAGCTCACGGCCACCGAGGTTCCGAAATAGTCGCCTGCGGCCCCATCACTCGCCACAAGCTTGAGCAGCCTCTCGCCGGTGGCCCCGTCGAGCACGTACGCGGAGCCAGAATTGCTGCCCTGGTCGTCGTCCCAAGAGGCCCCAACCACCACGCGGGCCCCGTCGGAGCTCACGGCCACCGAGGTTCCGAAAAAGTCGCCTGCGGCCCCATCACTCACCACAAGCTTGAGCAGCCTCTCGCCCGTGGTACCGTCGAGCACGTACGCGGAGCCAGACTGAGGGCCCTGATCGTCGTCATAGTAGGCCCCCACCACCACGCGGGCCCCGTCGGAGCTCACGGCCACCGAGGTTCCGAAACAGTCGCCTGCGGCCCCATCACTCGCCACAAGCTTGAGCAGCCTCTCGCCCGTGGTACCGTCGAGCACGTACGCGGAGCCAGAATTGCTGCCCTGGTCGTCGTCACCCCAGGCCCCCACCACCACGCGGGCCCCGTCGGAGCTCACGGCCACCGAAGTACCGAATCTGTCGAGCGAGGCCGCATCACTCGCCACAAGCTTGAGCAGCATCTCGCCAGTGGCCCCGTCGAGCACGTACGCGGAGCCAGAATTGGTGCCCTGGTCGTCATAGTAGCCGGCCCCCACCACCACGCGGGCCCCGTCGGAGCTAACGGCCACCGATTTACCGAACTTGTGGTACTCGATCCCATCACTCACCAAGAGCTTGAGCAACTGCTCGCCGCTTGTAGCCTGGCGCCTCCCGAACTCGGCCTGCGGCTCGCGAAGGCGACCGCTCGCCGAGCCCTCCAGCCTCGGGCGGGCCAGCGTCCCGCTCGCCGGCGACCCGGCGCTCGGGGCGCCGCGCGCTACCAGCAGCAGGAGCAGCGCGCCGACGCTGTGAGACGTGCGAAAGCGCATCATGCCGTCTGCAAATGTGCAAAACTGAGAGGAACGAGAGACGCCCGAGGGGAGCCCTGGGAGGCCGGCGACGGCCCCTCGGAACCTTGAGCCGCCAAAATTGCTTCGGACCTTCCGCTTTTTGTCGGGGCTCTTTTCCCAGAAGAACTCTCCCTGGCGCTTCGGCCCTTCCCGCCGGCCACCCGAAAGGGAGCTCCAGGAGCTCAATCCCAGAAAAATCCCCCAAGACGGCTCCAGATGGCCTCCAAGATGGCCTCCAAGTCCGCCCAAGATGGCCTCCAAGACGGCCCGAGAGAGTCCAAGATGCCTCCAATTCGTCCAAAGAAGGCCCCAAGACGACCCAAGAGGCCCCCAAGACGCCTAGGCTGCCTCGAAGGCCGCCCTGACACGGCCCATGAGGGCCTGAAGTCGGCTCCGAGAGGCCCCAAAGACGGTCTCGGACGGCGTCAGATGGGCCAGGAACGCTCTAAGACGACCAAAGCCTCTCTCAAAGAGTCCCCAGAGGTCCCCAAGAAGGCCAAGGAGGCCTCCCGAAAAGTATTCAAAAGGTCCACAGGAAACGGCGCGCGCGCGAGAGAGAGAGTGGCGGCGGCGACGACGGCGACGACGACTGACGTCGACGACGACGAGGACCATCCTCCTCCTTTTCCTCCTCCTCCTCCTCCTCCTCCTTCTCCTCCTCCTCCTCCTCCTCATCATGATCATCATCCGCCGACTCCTCATCCTCATCCTCATCACCCTCCTCTTCCTCCTCCTCTTCCTCCTCCTCCTCCTCCTCCTCTTCCTCCTCCTCCTCCTCCTCCTTCTCCTCCTCCCCCTCCTCCTCCTCCTCCTTCTCCTCCTTCTTCGAGCCGACTTCTGGCCGTCTGGGGACCATCTTGGGCGTTTGGGAAGCGTCTGGGGCAGTCTTGGAATCTTCTTGGGCCCGTCTCGGGGGGCATCTTAAGCCCCCCGCTCTCTTTGAAAAGGGGGCCCCCTGGCTCCGGAACCCGATCCCTACCCCACCACCCACTACGCACCACCCAATACGCACCACTCAAGACTCACTACTCAGAATTCACTACTCAGCACTCACTACACCCTAGTGACAAGGCTGGGGCCGGCGCCGCTATTCTGAGGAATTTCTGGGGCCAGGCATTACTCGCTGCTCGCTACTCGCCACTCGCAACTCCTTTCTCCCTAATCCCTTCTCCCTGCTCGCAACTCGATATTCGCAACTCGATACTCCCTTCTCCCTGCTCGCAATTCGCTACTCGCATCTCGCTGCTCGCTACTCCCTACTGGGAACTACACACTACTCACGACCCGCGACTCACGACTCACTACTCCCTACTCCCCACTCCCTATCCCCTACTCTCTACTCGCGGCCAACGACTCACTCTGTATCCCCTACTCTCTACTCACGGCCCTGCTTTTCTGAGGACCTATTGGATTTCTGAAACTCCCGGGATTTCTCGATTTCTGGAATGTCGGGATTTTCTGGATATACTCACAACGCACTATTCTTCATATATACTCACAACACACTACCCACAATGCGCCACTCACAGCGCACTTTCTCTATTCCAAGAATTTTCTGAACATCTGTTGGATTTCTGGAATTTCCGGAATTTCTGGAGTTTCGTTGAATTTCTGGAATTTTTGGAATTTCTTGAATTTCTGGGATTTCTAAAAATTTCTGGAATGTCTGGAATTTCTCAAATTTCTCGAATTTCTGGAATTGTTTGAGTTTCTCGAGTTTCTGGAATTTGTGGATTTTCTGTGGTTTTGTGAAATGTGTAAAATTGCAACACTTCTAAGCAGTATTCTCAACGCACACTTCAAACAAAGAAATCCCAGAAATTTCAAACATTCCAAACATTCCCGAAATTCTAAACATTCAAAATATTCCAGAAATCCCAGAAAATCTAGAAATTCCAGAAATTCCAGAACATCCTGAAATTCCCCAGGATAGCGGCGCCAGCCCTGGCCTGCAATGAAAAAAAGAATAGCAGGACAAGCCACGCGAGGCAGGGGCGGCCCCAAGACTAGCCGCAGGAACGCAAAAACAATTCGAATAAGCTTTCTGAACCGCCCAAGAAACACACAAGACGAGCATCCTCGAGCCCTTGAACCCGCCCCCATCAGCCCGGTGGCGGGATTGGCAAAAGCCACTCAGGCTACAGCGCTTACGAAAGAACCTCGCGAATGAGTGGCAGGTTCTCATGGCCTAGAACAGCAAACAGAAAACCTTGACAATCGTCGAGAGTCGCAGCGCCTGCGGCAGCGCCCGCCTCGACGCTGTCGATCTCGTGCAGTGGCCGACCAGGAAGAGCCCGATCCACAGGCACGCCATCTTCCTCCAGAGACAACTGGAAACTAGCTCGGAGAGCTCGTCCAGCGTCGTCCTCCGAGGCCCAGATGGCGCCGTCGCGAACGCAGACGCGCAGGGCGCGGCATACAGCCTTCACGAAGCACACAGCCAGGTCCAAATTGTAGACTCTGGCCAGCAGCGCAGTCTGCGAGCTATGCTGGAGAAAAAGTCCCATCGCCACATACGCGTGCGACCACTCAGTCTCTACCATGCTGTCGCCGGCGCCCTCGTCGCCCACGGCGCTCTCCTCCAGGTCGACGCGGACCTGCCTCTCCATGACATCGATGCAGAAGGCCGGGCGATCCGAGCGAGCCTGGCACAGAACGAACGTGTCCTCGCCAAGTGTCGTCAGCTGCTTCTTGCGACGCCGAGTGTTGCGCTCGATGCCGGCGCCCGCCGTCAGCAGCGCCTTGCCCCGCCCGGGCTCCTTGAAGAACTCCCACGCAGTCTTGGACACGTGCCGGACCAACCAGTTCGGATCGTCATCGCGGCCCGTCGCCGGCGCGGTGGCAGCCCACTCCCAGTCTGACAAGAGCAGCTCCGCGGCGACGGGAAACGAGATGTTCACCTCGGTCTCGCTCCGGAGATGCACGCACACAGCGTCCACTGCTACGCCGGGCCAGCGTTCCTCCAGAAACTCCACCGGGGGGCCGCGACGCATCATGTCCTCCTCGTCCGCGTAATCGATGTCCGGGTCGGACTCCTCGGCAAAGATCTGGATGACGTCGGTCCTGAAAACAGGGGGATCTCCAGCCTTGGCGCAGTCCGGGTTCCATTTCAAAGAACCGTCGAGGCAGGCCCACTCCTGGAGAGCAAGGTGCATGCTGCGGGGTCCGAAGGACAACCCGATTGCGTCGCGACGTCCTCCTCGTCGTCCGGGGAGGTCTCCGTCTCCACGGCGTCCTGGCCCGTCTGCTGCAGCCTCGCAGCGACGTCAGCGCGCCGCGCTGAGCGCGTCCGCCCGACCGCCCGGACGAACTGTTGCACTTCTTCCCAGTCAGCAGAACGCGGAATGGATGGATGCTGGAGGCGGTGCCAGTACACCGCAGAATAGAAAGCAGGCGGCGCCGCGTCGTCCCTCACGGCCTCGCGGAAGCGCACCGGGACACGTAGGCGCGTCCATTCTTTCTCTCCGAAATCGATCAGACGCACCCATGGCATCTGTTGGTGGGCTTTCCGCTGCCAGATCTGTATCTGCGCCTCCGAATAGTCAGAGTGGATGGCAAAGTCCCATCTCTGCTTGAGGCCGAGAAACACCCCCTCCGTCGAGAGCGCGGAGTTGTTGTCCGGCAACATGATCTCGCCGCGCAAGTCCTCGACGACGACGTGCAGCCGCTTGGAGTAGCGCGACGTGGCGATAAACTGCAGGTGCCGCTCTGGCGTGGCCGGCCCACCCCCAGTCGCCCTCCTGGCGATGCGGCAGGCGCAGGATCTCCACCGGGCCGTCTCCGCCACCAGCTGCCAGCGCTACCGAGATGCACAGCAGCTTCGCCCTGCAAGCGCTGCTGTACCCGTAGATCGTGGAGCCTCCAGGCGGCAGCGGAAGCCGAAGATGTTCATGAGCACGGGCGCACAACTCGGAGAGATGAACTGCCAAGAATGCTTTGAACTCATTGAGGAAACCGTTCAGAAAGCTCACGACCTGGATGCCGCCGGCGCGACCACCGTCGTCGTTTCCGCTGAGGAGCACGACGAGCTGGACGGCCAAGATAGAAGCGCAATGTCGCACAAACGTCGGAGACCATATGATATCCGACGTCGCCGCCTTGTGCTCCCAGTCACGAAGGCGCTCCACCGGCGCGAGCAGAACCAGGCAGTCCTCCGGGCCGCCGCGCACACCCCGCGCGGACACCATGTGGCTATGGCGCCCGGGAAACATGCACTGCAGCAGCGCCACGCCGGCCGCTCCAAGGCGGAAAGACTCAGCCAACTTGCACGTCTGCGCCGCCTTGCCCAGCGGGATCCAGTTGGCAGCGCTGGACCATGCGCCGCGGAGCTCGTCAGAGTCCACGCGCCCGCCCCGCAACGTCGCAAGTTCCTTGCGACTCCCCGTAGATCCCTGAGGAGCGCGAGGACCGCGCGGATCTCTCGCCTGGTCCACGTCGCCAGTGAGGATCGCCATCGAGCAGCCGGTTCCCATGGCCCCCACCATCTTCCACGAGTAGCGCTGCATCTCGTCTGCGAAGAGCGCCCAGGCGATGCCCCGATCCTCGAGGAGGCCAGACAACTCGTTCTTGCCCGTGCGCAGCTCCAGGAGCTTGGCCGGAGTGAGCACCAGGGCCCGGAGCCCGGAAAGAATCGTCGCTCGGCGCTGCCCCCGATCACTGTAGTGATGCTGATCCAGGAATGCATGGCGCCGCGCCAGCAGAGCGCAGATTAATTGCCTGGCAGCTCCCTCCCGACCTGTTCCGCACTTGCGCTTCAGGAGCTCGACGCAGTGATCCACCGCCCTCAACACGCTGCGAGCTTGGGCGCGCTGCTCGTTCAACCGGTCCTCCAAGAACTGGTTCAGGAAGTACTTCACTCTCGATCTGTGTCCTCGTCGTAGCCGACCCGCGCGACTCCCTGGCTGATGCCGATCCTGTTGAGGCCGCGGTCGAGCCGGGCGACTGCCGCCGCGCACATCTCCCGCGTGGGCTCCACCACGAGAAATTTGGCCGCAGCGTTGTGCGTCGCCGTCATCAAGATCAGCGTCTCCATCAGCATGGTCTTGCCCGCTCCGGGCACGGCAGGCGCCAGCAGGAGAGCGCTGCGCCAGCTCAGCACCACATTTCACTGCTTGGGCGTAAGAGAGTGTCCGCAGGCAGCCTCCACCCGCCGGAGCAAGTCGCGCCGCGTCTGAGACTGCGCTGCGCCCGCTGCCATCTCCACCGCCACGTCAGCTGCACTGCTCGCCGACACCGCAGCCCGCGTCACATCGAGGCCCAGGATGAGGCGCATCAGGACGTCGGCGCAGTGGAGCTCTGCGGGCACGGCCTCCCGCGCGGCCGAGCAGAGCGCAGCGGGCAGCACAGAGAGAGTGCCGCGCAGGGTCTGCCGGAAGGTCTCGTGGATCAGGTACGCCTCATGCATGTCTGCCAGCAGCACGGCGATGACGCGCAGCGGCTGCCCGGGCGGCACTGGCACCGGGAGTCCTTCGGAGCTGTCGGGCAGGAGCCCCACCGGCGGCGACGCGGAAATCGTCCGACCATCCGGCGACGTCGACGCCACCATGCGCAACGTGCCCAGTGCGCATGGAGTCTCCGCGCCTTTCTGCCAACCCCCGTGCATCCACTCCTCCACGGCGTCGTGGCGCCCAATCCACATCGCGCTGAGTTTGCCGTTGCTCCTCGGCAGAGTGCACTCGAGCTGAGTGCGAGCCTTTATCATCACCAACTTGCTGACCTCCTGAGCTTTCGGCTTCCGTGACTTTTGGCGGCCTTTGCCCTTGCCCTTCCCCTCTCGGGCATCTCGCGGCGCTGGCGGCGCCCGCAGATACGCCGTGCGCGGACAGCGCGCCCGCCCGCTGCGGAGCGTCGACCCTGCCTCGAGAATGAGCTCCTCGAGCAGCAGAAAGATGGCAGATTGCACAGACTGCTCAGCGTCGCCGAGGCCAGGGCGGAGCTTCGCCGTCGATCGCTCGCTGCTCGTGTCCAGCAGCGCCTTGGCGAAAGAAGGCGCGCCCGAGGGCGGCGTCTCCATCATCTTGGCTTGTGAAATCACCGGCAGAACCCGGCGCAGAAGCGCGTTCGAGGCAGTAGCGCGACCTGGCTCCAGCTGAGTGAGCGCCCTCATCAGCTGCGTTATATCGGCCTTGCTTCGTCCCCTGCCTGACCTGGTCTTGACAAGGTAAGGGTGCATCTTGTTGGCCATGTGCGACAAGGCCTGCAACACGTCATGCTCGCCGAACTCCACGAAGTCCATCAGCTCGACATCCCGACCGGCGATGAACGCCCGCACGGGCGGTGCGCCTTCCAACCACGCAGCAGCCGCGCGGGGCGTGCCCACGGAGTCCTTCTTGCACAGCATTGGCTCTCCGCGGAAGAGCCGTGCAATATTGATCCGCGCCACGGCAGCCGCCTCTTCCGTGGGAGCAGAAAGGTGGTACTCTGCACAACCAGTCCCTTCCTCGGCCGTTCCAACAGCGCCCCGACCGCACCCAGTCGGAATCTTGAGGAAGACGATGTGCCAACTGCAACGCTGCACCACTTCGTGGACGGGCGCAAGCAAGTCGGCCAGGCAGGCGTGCTTCTCCGGCCAGCGGTAGAAGAGCAGCCGCCCGACAGAGTGCATGAGGGAAGCAGTGAGAGGGCCCGACGGGCAACCTCTGAGCTCGGAGCAGTCGCAAATCAAAACGAAAAGAGGGCCCGAAGGGCAACCTCAGCTTTGAGCCAAAACGCCAGACGCCGCCCAAGCAGAGACGGCCAACTTTGCTCCCGCCAGCCACCGCGAAGATCCCGCCGGCGATCCAAGACGGCGGCATCGCAACGGCGCTGCCTGTTTGACCCCCACCCCCGCGTTGCACTTGGCATTATGTGGGGC